TTCGCCATTATCATTGCGATTTTTAAAAATTATCATTAGCATGACAAGGAGAAAAGCATAGGAAATTGCAGGCATGATACAAGCATTAGCAAGGAAACAAAATCACAATTAAAATAATTTGAGTAATGTTTGACGTTAGTATAAGGGAATAGTAGAGTACTTGACCCATACTTTCGAGTCAGAAGGGTGACAATCTGAAAGCACCAACGTCTTGAAATGGATAAATCTTCCCAGTTGTTTAAACAGAACATGGGCTACTAATGCTTACAAGAACCAGCCAGTCCTGTTTCATGCTTCAAAAATAGCATGGTTGATCTATTTCCCCATCCTGTTCTTGTACGACACTTGCATCAAGAGCAGCTCGCTGGAGTGAGGGTTTTATGAGCTTACGCTTGTTCACGTCTGCACACACACTCAGCCGACACCAGATGTAGAACTTTCAATATAATCACGTTACAAATCTCCCTCGCACTCTTTCGGTGTTAGCAATAAAAAAAGGATCGTGTAAAAATCGCCAAAACAAAACTACGTTTATGTTAAAGGTGATGTGGATGTTCCAAACTAAATGCTTCCCAATAGCACTGGGGCAGTTTTCGATGCTATTGGGCATTGTCAGCAAGATGTGGCCTACAACTGGCCACGCTGTGGGCAGTGTCAGCTACCCGTCGTATACGCGGTGGCCCCAAATAGATGTACGAGTGCAAGGAATGTGTCAATTGCTACGGAAAACGAAACTCACCTGGAAAACATTCGTTTGACGATGTGAGTCGAGCGGAAGAAAATAATGGGGGTTTTTACGAAGGTTGGTTTCTAATTTTGAGTCTTTGAAAAACGAATAATAATAGTACGCGAGAATTTGCAACAATACCATGAGAAATGTCCCTCAGGGCTCTGGAGACCACCTGGAGAAGATTCCAGGCACGCGTTGACAATGATGGGGAACAAGGGGAGACTTACTTTTTGAAGCTATTACCATTACATTTGTTATTATGTTACAGTGTATTATCTGTTCTTTTTCCATTAGAAACGATAGTCCCATCTAAGTGTTAACATTTGTTTGAAGCACCCTGTATGTGCATTGATATGGCACTTGCTTAAATGCCTCAGTATCTCAAATTGCCCTCTCCATCGCGTCTCATCTCAAACATTTGCAGATGACCCCCGGTGGCAGCCGTCTCTGTGTGGGCGCAAGGCGACTAATTTGGACCACGCTGCAGGCACACGGTGGCCTTGTTCTTTCAGAATGACATCGCGCGGGATCTTGAACGCGTCCACTGCTAAGAAGCCGGCATGTGCTCACGCCCGATACACCCGCAGCATTAACCAGGGCAGCCTGCCACTGTAAGAATCACAAGCCTTCCGCAAGCCGGCGGCCAAATGTGCTAAGGTCGGGCCATGTCGCGGTCCTGAAACGTGGTGGAGTTTGGCTCAGCTCTGGCTCAACTCTGTTCCTGACACGAAGAGATCTCCTCGCTAACAACGCCAGGCGCGAGTCGCGACCATACACATCGTTTGAAATCCCACACTCCGAGTCTGAATTTCACACCGAGGCAGGATCCTATTTCATCGTAGATATGATAGCTTTGTTCAATACCAGCACAAATTAGTAACGAGCAGCACTACCTCCATCAAACACGGATGGATATTAAAATTTTGTTAACCTGTGAATAATACAATTTTAACATTTACATCTCTTTTCAAATGTATACAATCGCGGACACACTTTAACACTCCAAGATCAAATACTGTACTGGTGTTAAAACATAAACCTGATGCGTTGACAAAGTCAAGCGATTACTAAATCCTCAAATAAATTTGACACCACTTTGTGGGAATTGAACAGTCCTGTAATCCATTAACCTGGAAGACAATGGTGTCGTTAACCAGTATTTTTACGATGAAGAAAAGCGAGTGGGCTTGGGTAGGACACGTCGTAAGAAGGACAAGGTGGCGGATGGACGAGACTAAGTACTGAGTGGCAGCTGAAGGAGGGAAAGGGCCCAGAGGGCACGTCCACTGCGGAGATCGTGCACCGAGGACACTGGCTCGTCTTGCGTTGCGGAATGGCAGCCATTTAAAAAAGGCCTCTATCTAGCTGTAGGTTGATCAGGGCTGATGATGACGACGACGACGACGACCGACGTCTACAACTAAAAGCCTGTCCTCAATCAATCGGGCATTCTGGTGTTAAACTGGAATTTGGAAGATGTGTGTGCAAATACCTTCCATCGCTGTTCCCGCTCCACTTTGCACGCACTTTGTATGTTGCTTCGTGTCAATTGTTGGTAGGCATATTTATATCAAGAAAATCGTTCACTTTTTTCATCTTAAAAGTTTGTTTGATGACATTTTACATTAGATGTTCATTCCCTGGGAAGCCCTCATGTCTCTCCCTGTAACTCGGGTCTCCCTTTAAATGGGGTCTCACCTGGTTGAAATAAAGCCGATGAATGAATGTCCCGATAGATATAACGTCTGAGTTGCCGCCACAGAAATGTGGAATTTCCACGTCTGAAAATTGTGGATATTTTTTGCAACGTCAAAAGATTGTGGGACGGAACTCCTCTCAACCGCCAACTGAGATGGAGTTCCACCCCACAATCTTTTGAGTTGAGAGACACTTTGGCTATAATTACGATGCAGCAATTCATGTACCAATGTACCAATGCGGTGGATCGGTGGCGCAGTGGTGGGCACACCTGGGGTAAAGGATCCAGGGAACGGAGTAACAGCCTCCATTGGGTGGGTGCCCAAAACTCAACTACACAGCCACTGCAGGGGTAATTTGGCCTACTCTTCCTCCAAGCTGGACAGATTGTCTTGGAAGAGGTGGGGGTACCCACACTTCACCCCACCACACACGACCACGGTGTCTATTCACGCACGCGATGTTCTACCAGAACCGGTGCAGTATCTCAAAGCATCTTAAGTGCGTGCTGCGAATACAAATGCCGTATTATAACTATCACAGAGTATCACCACAGTCATTATAAAGGACCAACGAGATTTACACATTTGAATATACAATTACATGACGATCAATTCCGCCCAGGAAGTGCATGCAAATATCACATCTCCTTTAAAATTGGACCATTAATGTATCAGTTTGTTTAAGATGTTCAATGTCTTAATTGTGCTAAATGATAGTCTTTCAATTTCTGAAAGTGTGCAACTTGTGCCACTTTGGGCACACAATACAATGAAGGCTCGACTTGATCGAGATGGAGTGTTGTTGGAGTACAATTTGTGAATGTGTCAAATGCACCGTGTCCCAAACTCACAACACGTGTCAATGTGAAAGCATTGTACCTGGGTCTCACTTCGGATACACTCTCCAAGTGGGCAACGTTTTACCAGACGTACACTACACGATAACAGCAACAACACACACAGAGTCGGTTTCACGGACGGGCAATGACATTCATGCGGTGACAACCTTCAACGTCTCGAATCAATTCGCAAGCGCCACGTGGTGTTAGACTTCAAGAGGCTTCGCTCCCTAAAAAGTGCCGTCGATTGGCCGTGAGCAAAAAGCAAATTCGAGTCGGTGAGAACGTCTCTTGCTTGCCAAACGCCGTCAAAACGTGCCCCCCCCCCCCTATCCTCTCGGCTGGATCGTTCATGTTACGGACAAGCCCCCCCCCCCCCCCAATTTTGGTCGAACTCTGTCCACCAGGACTCACAGCAACGACTGCGACGCTAACAATGCCCTGAATCTCATCGGCTACAAACTAACACGTTCTCACTCCTCTCGCATTCTGCCGCTACCCCCCCCCCCCCCCACCATTGTACCCAGCAAGCTTCCCTCGTGGAGAGAGCCCCCCCCCCCCGCCACCTCGATCCTGTGCCCGGGACCCTCCACGTGGCTGGTGTGTGATGGTGGTGTGTGATGGTGTGTGTGGTGTGTGGTGTGGTGTGTGTGTGGTGTGTGTGTGATGGTGTGTGTGTGGTGTGTGTGTGATGGTGTGTGTGGTGGTGTGTGTGTGGTGTGTGTGTGTGTGGTGTGTGTGTGGTGGTGTGTGTGGTGGTGTGTGTTTCGTGTGTGTGTGTGGTGTGTGTGTGATGGTGTGTGTGGTGGTGTGTGTGTGGTGTGTGTGTGGTGGTGTGTGTGGTGGTGTGTGTGTGTGTGGTGTGTGTGTGATGGTGTGTGTGGTGGTGTGTGTGTGGTGTGTGTGTGGTGTGTGTGTGGTGGTGTGTGTGGTGGTGTGTGGGTGGTGTGTGGTGTGTGTGGTGTGTGTGTGTGGTGTGTGTGTGGTGTGTGGTGTGTGTGTGGTGTGTGTGTGTGGTGTGTGTGTGTGGTGGTGTGTGTGGTGGCGTGTGTGTGTGGTGTGTGTGTGTGGTGTGTGTGTGTGGTGGTGTGTGTGGTGGCGTGTGTGTGTGGTGTGTGTGTGGGGTGTGTGTGTGGTGGTGTGTGTGGTGTGTGTGGTGTGTGTGTGGTGTGTGTGTGGTGTGTGTGTGGTTGTGTGTGTGGCGTGTGTGTGTGTGGTGTATATGGGGTGTGTGTGTGTGTGGTGTGTGTGGGGTGTGTGTGTGTGTGGTGTGTGTGTGGTGGTGTGCGTGGTGTGTGTGGTGGTGTGTGTGTGTAGTGTGTGTGTGGTGGTGTGTGGTGTGTGTGGGGTGGTGGTGTGTGTGGTGGTGTGTGTGTGGGGTGTGTGGTGTGTGTGTGTGGTGTGTGTGTGTGGTGTGTGTGTGGGGTGTGTGTGTGGTGTGTGTGCGTGGTTTGTGTGGTGTGTGTGTGGTGTGTGTGTGGTGGTGGTATGTGTGATGGTGTGTGTGTGGTGGTGTGCGTAGTGTGTGTGTGATGTGTGTGTGTGGTGTGTGTGCGTGGTGTGTGCGTGGTGTGGTGTGTGTGTGTGGTGTGTGTGTGGTGTGTGTTCGTGGTGTGTGGTGTGTGTGTGTGTGTGGTGTGTGCACTGCACGCTACGTCCTGTAGGCTGTCAAACCCCCGTCTGAAGCTCGCAGCACACAGGGAGAAACAGCGGCAGCAGCGACCCGCTTACCCTGAATGGTCGTCAACGAGCTGCGCTGGTGCTGGGGGTCCCCCCTTTGTCTCCGTCTCTCTCTTTCTGTCTTGTCCCCCCTCTTGTCTCCGTCTCTCTGTCTTGTCCCCCCTTGTCTCGGCCGCGTCTCCTCGCTGTGAGCCTACAACACGCAGCAGAGAGGGAAGGAGGAGGGGGGGGTGGGGGAGCTGGGACCGCGTGGTGTGGGGGTGGGGACGGCCATACGAGACTCCACACACATATATATATACCACACACACATATACCACACACATGTATACACCATATACAACACCAACTGCCATTCGCCACAAAGTGGCGGTGACATCACCACGACGCTTGTGCCAGGCTAGGTGCACCTTGAGGCCACGTGAAGTGTCGAACGCCCGCTGGCAGGAGGTCACGGGGCAGACCCAGGTGCCACGGGTCGACTGACCGAGATGACCGAGATGACTGGCCGATGCACCATCTGTGCCCCCTACTTTGCCAACTTGCTGTGCTTTAGCCACCCGGCGCTCCGCTCGCTGTTGTGAGCGTCGCTCCTCCGCCCTCCGTTGTTGTTGGAGGGCGACTGCCTCCAACTGCCCAGCAGCGTCCTTCACGAGCCTCCTCCACAGAGGCCGATCTTGACACCGCTGGTACCAGTCATTGGCAAGTCCACTCAGTTCCACATCCTCCTGTACCACATCACTCCATCTCTTCTCTAGCCCGTGCCGCGCCCGCTTAGCCCCCTCGATCCGGCCGAACAAAAGCTGCTTAGGCATGCGGTGGCTGGGCATGCGGGCTACATGACCCAGCCAACGCAGCCTTGCCTGCCGGAGGATCTCACCGATGGGACTTTGCCCAGGTTAAACCCAGGATGGATTGTAGGCAGGCTAGCCGAAATGTTTTTAACCGGCGAAGATGTTCCATTGGGGGGTCCACGTTTCACAAGCGTAGAGAAGGGAGGGAATGACTGTGGCCGAGAAGACCTGAAGCCTCGTGCGGAGCGACAGACCAGGTAGCTTCCACACAGCGTTACGCAACCGATGAAAAGATAATGCCACTCGACTGATTCGGAGTGAGACCTCTGCTATTAAACCAGAGCCGGTCATGAGCAGACTGCCCAGGTATGGGAAACTCTCCACTCTCTCCACAACTACCCCATTACCAATTGGGAGTGCTTCGTTTTGGTGGGGCTGAGTACGTGTTGTGGTGAACATGCAGACGAACATGCTCTCATAATATCTGATGCATTGTCTTTGAAAAGGTCCCATTTTGTAGCAGCTCACCCCGAGCTATAAATGCTGATAATGGCATAGTCCTTGTACTGTTCGCCTTTTGGTGTTCTCTGGTCTGGCAATGGTGAGACGAGGCCCTGAGGAAGGTTGCTGTCTTTGGTGTAGGCCAGTCAGTTCCAAAGACTGCCATCTATAATTATCAGAGCATGTTTGTTTACATGTTCACCACAAGTATGTGAGGTTAATGCGAACTTGATTTGGTATTTGAACATCTTAACACCTGTTTTATTGCCAGAAAGGGTAAAACCTATTCTTATTTTTTGTCATAATTTGATACTGGTAAAAAGGTCCCACTTTTAATAACAAACGTTGTGACAACGACTACAACTAGTCGCAGGTGAGATCTTGTTGAGCGCAATGCAAAGTCGCAACAAAGACGCAATATGTCGTCAACCCTTCGGTGGTTTAAAAATAAAATAAAAGCCCCTCGACAGATTTAGACGCCATAAGTTCCGGGACCGCCCTTGTCCAAATCTGCTCGTGTTGGGGCGGTGCCTGTGGCGCTGTCGTGCAAGTGGCGTTGGGAGTTGCCCCCCGGGGCACCGGCATCTTCATCTTGGCGGGAAAAGCAACAAAAAAAACGCCAAACCCCCAATGGGGTTGGGCAAGAGGAAGTACGTTCTTACAATTCCTTTACTGCTCGACCCCCCCTCCCCCCACATCTGTGGGGGAGGGGGGAGCTTTATAGCTCATCTGAAAGACGAAACTCCATATAACAATCACAATTATACCACAAAAACACCTGTCAACCACCTAATGAGTCCCCTACCTTATCACAGACCAATTCAGACCGCATTGGTCACCACGTGTCCCTTATAAATCTCAAGTTCATCCCACAAAGTCCCTTCACAAGGGAGATACACAAACAAATAGACAAACAAGTTTTTGTTTTTGCCCGTATTCAAACGGCTGGCTTTGCAGGTATGCGACACGTGCATTCATCAATCACTTTACGGCCTTATAAAGGAAAAGTATATCGTGTGCTATTAAGAAGGGCCATTGCCCGAAACGTCGCCTGTCGCATACTCGAAGGCAATTGCTTCGACTAACATGTTTTGTTGTTATTTGTGCACCGCAGGAGCGGCATCACCATAGAATGAGTTCAATAAAGTTGCACAGATCTGGTCACACACACAGCTACCGCATGCCTGTCAACCAATAATGCGGTTTACAAGCATTCTTGTACAGGGAGACTGAGTTTTCAGGTCCATGCGGCGTGTAAGTCGTTTCAATGCAGGCAACAACTTTTGATTATCTATTTGTGTTCCTCCCTCGTGGTGATGGGACTTTGAAGGATGAACGTTGAGATATATAAGGGCACCGGGTGACCAATAAGGTTTGAATTTGTGTGTAACAAGGTAGGCACTGATAAAGGGTTGACCGTATGATAAGAAGCACCCTAAACTTTGACTTTTATAAACTTCAGTGCAGTGCCTGGGAAAAAAAGACATTCCGTGATGCTTCGTAGAATACTGTTGATGCTGTTAGTGCGGGGGGAGTGGTGGTGCAGAGGTGAACGCACTTGCTGGAGGAACCCGGCCACCCGAGTTCGATTCCCGACCGCGGCTACCGTCAGTGGCGAGTGAGAAGCGAACCGCTCCTGCCCCTTCAACTGTCCACCCGCCTGCACTGACCAGCAGGGTGAAGTATGGTCGCACAACTCCCATGGCCGACGCGAAGTGGGGGAGGCCCTCATCCAACAGTGGATTGAACAATGCGATGTGCGTGATCAATACCGTACAATATCATCAGACTATTTTGGGTCAGTACTGCTTCTATCGCTGTGTTGTACCGTTGGTGTACGGTGCTTTTTTCTGGAAGACTTTGCAGTTTTTCCTGGATTTTTCTGTTTGCGCATAGTCACTTTAAGATGTTTTTTTTGTTCATGTTTTTTTGTTTGTTGCGGTTGCACCTGATTCAAGAGCCGAATGGCTCACAGGGCTATACCAAATAAATGAAACTGAAAACTGAAAAACCGTACTTCTGCGCGTCCACGTCTTTTCTTCCGCACTGGCCAGCGTGGTGAAGTATGGTCAAATAGCGCCAACGCGGCGTGGCAATGAAGGTCTTCCATCCGGCAGTGGTTTGACAAAGGGCTGATCGTACGCGGGATCAGCGCTGTTAGCGAGCACCTATTAAGGCGGGCACGGAACACGGCTTTCACTCCTCAACGCTGAGATCTACGATTCCTGCTGTGCTCATAGACTGAACGAGAGCAACAGGATGTTCAGGTAGTCCAGAAAGAGGACTCCCAAGAGTGAGGTGGAGAGTTCAAATCCCAAACAGGGTCAACTTATAGCCTGACCATCATACCTTCATGCTCTTTAAAATATGTACCATCTAGTAAGAATGCATCACTCGGTGGTAAGTCGATACGGTTGTGACCATCGTGTGGTAGTTGGACTGGACATTGCCACAGGAATGTGGAGTTGCTTCCATCGGCTCGAGATAAAAAAAAGCAACGTTCCAGTGCATTTCTGAACATTGGGACTCAAGGGCTTGTTTATACGTAGGGTTTAGATGTTCAAACCCACACGCAACATTTAACCACAATACCGTGCTTGTGACAAACACAAGCATTATGCAAAACCCATTCAAGAGTTACTCAGTTATTTAACACGTAGGCTTTCGCGACCAATACTATTCATAATAAACGTTTTTGGGTTAGATCGCGTTATTTATAAATGTGTCGTAACCTTCCACCACCCGACACGGCCAATCAGCAAAAAAGTGTCACGTTGACAAAAGACAAATAGTTCACTACTTTAGCCCACCGGTGTGTTGAAGCGTGAAACCACAACATTTACAATTGTTTGAGTACGACGTTTCGCTGGCAATTGCATCCAGCATCATCGGGCAATTCGCCAGAATTCGCCAGAATTGCGATTGAAACGTCGTGATATATTATTTTATTATTATTATTATTGACTTTTTCTACCCATGTGACTTTACCGAAAAAACCAAAGAATATGGATTCCTGTAGTCACGAAAGCTTCAAATCAACATCTTTATTCCGTTTAAATGGCATGAGGGCTAATCTTTCCAGAATGATAGCCAAGGGCCATAGTAATGTGGAATTACCATCTTTGGCTCCGGACAATGAGTGCAGCATGCCATTCCACTGCTGGATGGGCGTCTCCCCACACCGTTCAGGTCGTCGGGGGTTATTCGACCAAACTTCGCCTCAACACGCGGATGTCCTCAACCAGCAGTGGATTGACACCAGGGCTGCACGTGCACAAGGTGTACTCTGTAGACAGAGTAAACGCGTGTCTCTCCTGCACCTGAAAACGGTCATCACTCACCTGTGGTGTACATTCCACATTCCCATGGTGGGTGCCAGTCTCGCCACAGGACAACAACTGTTGAATGACTGCAAAGTGGCACACTGTGCGGAATTCATAGACCCCCCCAGAGAAATATATGATGAGTAATTGAACCTGTCCAAATACTTCATATATCTCGGAGTCATAGAATGTCATCGTAAAGCATCTGTCCATCACATTGCCATCTACGCGTTGCAGGATTGTGCTGCGATGAGATGGCAGGGCAGTAATGTACCGTGTTTTCCCGCATATAACCCGCATACGCATATACCCCGCAAAAATAGCGTTTATGTAAAACAAATTTCAGATAGCCAGCACCTCCATATACCCCTCAGGCTCTTGTTTTGTTTGTAAAAAGTGGTATACCCCGCGGGTTATATTCGGGAAAATACGGTATTCTTGAATCTATCTGTGCGCGCGTTTGGTGCAACCCGTCGATATCTATGGTGTTTTGACTCCAGGCACGCTGATTCCCTCCCACGTGCAGCCAGACATTCATTCGTAGAATTGGGCAAACATCCCCCATGCTGGACCCTCCAGCAATCGTTACGAGACTTGGTGAAATCTTCTGGACGTCGATGTGACTGCAAAGCGACAAGGCCATCAATAGCGCAGTTGGCAGCGCCGCAGCTTGTGTTACACACAGACATGACATACACTTACTAATCCCCATAATCTCCCTACCTAACCTCTCCCATCAACATGGTGCTAATCTCCCATTAACACTGCTGTTGTGCGCATATGCGGGGACGATGATCT